CTGCTTTGTGGTGTTTTTCAGAGTTACTTGCCTGTGCCTCAACCAGCTCTTCCATCTCAGAGTGTAGCAGTAGGTGCAGTGCAGGATGTATAACTGTGTGGAGGAGCAGAGCTTGGATAGATTTGTAGTGTTGGACTTATTCTGAGCTCGGGTTGAGGCCCTGTGTTTTGTAGATTGGTTATGAACCAGTCACAGTTTGGATTGGGGAAATTGGTGCCCACGTTTGGAGAGCATATGGTGTGCAGAACAGCTGTAGCAGGTATTGTGCTCTGAGCTTGGAAAATTAGAGTATCTACTAAACAGGCTGGTTGTTTCATTCACTTGGGGTTTCCTTCAAGGGAAATAGTTTCCTGAGAGGTATTTTTCCTGCTTTGCATGCTTTGTGGTTTCTTAGTAGCAAAAATGCAAGCTTTAATTAAAGAGGAGGTAGGTAGGGCTGGGTATGTGTGGTTTGTCACATGGCTGGAGGCAGCTGCACTAGTTGATCTTTACCACTGTTGATTGTATCTGAGAACAAACTAAGTTTTGGTTTAGTCTGTTTTACAGGTTTTAAGACTTATGTTTCCCTGTGTTTCCCCTCCTTTAATCTAAACAAATCCTCAGAAGTTGGACTTTTCTAATTTTCTTAAAAATTTTATTGCTCTCTTCTAGACATTTTCAAATTTGTCCTTTCTTTTTTTTTTAAACCTCAGCCAAAAATGAGGAAGGGAGGGAGAAAGAGGGGGGTGGGGTTTGAACTAGTGTGTTTTTACATGGTAACTTGTTTAATAATTGTTATTTTTGAAAATGTTAATCAGATGTTTAGCACTTTCACCCTCTCCCAAGTTCACCATACAAAGAGGTGATTTGGCAATCGGCAGGTTTAAGGGGACAGGATACCTGACAGAGGGGCAATAATGAGTAACTAGAGGATTTTAGAATGTCTTAAAGAACATCTGCCATTGATAGTACAAATTTTTTAATTAAAACCCTTTAACCTTCCAACCCCTTAGCTCTCAAACGCTTGTTTCTGCTCGCTGAGATTAGGAGGGTGGGTCCCTGTTCTGAAGAGGTAGAAATTTCCAGCTGCAAGCAGAGGTGCCATCTGTGGGAGCACTAATTGTACAGGCTGGGAGAATGTTGCCTGCTTGGTTACTTCTTTCAGTATCAATTATACTTACAAAACAAAATTAATAACCCTAAACCAGGAGGTACCTTATTGGAGTTGAATACAACGTTATTATTGCTTCTGATACTTTACATATATGTTTGTTAATACATCCTCAGATGATGTTTGTTCTTTTTGTTGCAGGAAATACATTATTGACTCGTCTTGGTTGTACTATAGCTGTGCTGTATTATGGCCTTTGTGCTGATGCACAGTATGCGCACAGTAACATCAGAAATTTCTGATGTAGCCCACAGCATGCCTAAGGGGCTTGTTTTCCACTTGTATTAAATACCAGAATCTTAAGATGTCCTGAAAGCCTTCAGAGGATGTATAGCATACAAATTCAGGGAGTTTGGTGTTATGCATGCTGGGAATTTGTATGTCAGTAGATAGAGGGGAAAAAAAAAAAAGGCTTTCCTCTCTATCTGAACCACCCTCTTCCTCAATTATGAAAGTAGAATGCTTAAAAGAAAAGAAAGTTGATCACTGCTTGTACTTTAGTGTTGAGTTTTTTCCTTTTTTGTGATTTATTTCAGTACTCTCTGATGCATGTATTTCAGATGGTCTGCATTTAAAAAAGTGAAAAATCGATTGGATAACTTTAAGGTTTAACCAAGGTTAAAACACCTTGAATCTTTCACTAGGTCATTAGAATTAGCAGTTAATGATAAGTATTTGACTCTAATGACAGTTTTCTTGGTATTTCAGAATATAATTTGTTGATTCTGTATTTTAACAATTGATAATGTAGCAGAACTCTGTACTTCTCAGAGAAATAAAATTATGCTCTGTCCTGTATATAAAGGGGCGTGAGTGTGTGTGTGCACGCACAGCCAATTTATTAATTTAGGCATGGTTTATCAGCAAAATTCTTCTGTATTGCTGCTTCTTGGCAAATTCCAGCTCCGTTAAAGACATTCTAGATGCATGAGGGGAATAGGAACCAAAAATACCATCTCTTCATCTATTTCCTCTTGTTTCTTTTTACTGGAAACTACAAAATTAATTAATGTTTAGTTTGTGAATGATTAAGAGCGTCAGTGAGAGAAATTGACCAACGCAGCATGTCTGTTTTCCATTAAGATGAAGGCTAAAGTCCTTAGGGGGTTGTGCCAGAAAAATGGAAGGAGCATTTGGCAATGAAGTGACTGGTGTTACAACTGCTGCTCCTTGGGTAGAGTCAGACTGCTAAACTGCATTTCTCCTGGTAACAGTGGTTGTTGTCCATCAATCAGTTATGCCTCAGTCTTCATGGGAAACAGCCCACTGGCAGGTAAGCTATTCCTAAGTCATGCAGAGTGGGAAGATGTGTGCTCCTTGGCTGGTGCTAATGGTAGAAAGGAGTGTGCAGGCTCCTTGCTATCTTTTACCACCTTTTGCCACCTCTACTCTGCCCGTTTGTTGCTGTCTTGAGTTATATCCCATTCTCACTTCAGAAATTGTGTTCAGAAAAGAGACATCTGAGAACTTGTGGTGTGACCACATATTATATTATAGCCGATGAGATACTGTTAGTTTAGTCTCCTTTGCAGGAGTAGCGTTACATAAACTAAAAATACATGGACGTGTGTATTACACTCAACAAAATTTTGTATTTCAAGCTGTACTAGTTGATCTGCATCCACCTGCAGACCTGATTTTTGCCTTATCCCCTTATGCTCTTTTATGTACAACAGTGCTAACAGTACATCAAATCTATGTGTTTGAGACAAGTGAAATACACCACATGCCGACTTTTACCAATCAGTCATAATCAGTCTGAAGCTACAAACTGGTGAGATGCTAGTGCTTTGCATCATGGAGGAAAAACGTTTTTGTTCTAATTTTAACACTATACTTCCTATATTCATTTTCTTCATAGAATTGACTTTGCCCAAGTTGTACTTGCGAAATAAATAATTCATGATCTATAATCTACAGGTAACACGAAAAAATTCTGCTTCGTTCCCTTCTGGTTTAGGTTACATGAGGTAGAAAATCAAATGTAAATAATGTGTTACTTTCTTGTGGTTTTTTTTTTTTTTCTTCTATTGTGCATGTTTTGGATATATTAAATTGCATTATCCTTTTAGGTAGCTGCTCTAGGAAAACTTCCAGGAATTCACATGACGGTTGGGTGTTGCAGACTGTGCAAGCTGCCTGAAGCCAGGGATCGCAAGTCGTGACATGAATATGAAAAAATTCCAAATTCCATGTAGCATTTCAAATCAGGAGTTCCCAGGTGTTTTACTCCTTTGTTCTGTTGCTCTTGGAAGAGTTGGGTGCTTTAAAGAGTTTCTCTTTGTGGTACCAAAGTTGACCTCTGCTTCTATTGTTTAGTAGCATTTTCAGCGTTATACAACATCTAACCTTATTAAGCCTCTTTTCAGTTCTTTGGCTTTGTGAATCTTAAAACCACACGAGATTCCACACCTTCTGCTTTTAAGGTTTATGTTGTGCTTTTTGTATTTGGGGTGCGTTTTTCGAATTCCCCTAAAACTGAGTGTTATTTGAGAAGTGGCAAGATTACTGAGTAACATAGACTTTTAAAAATTCTGTATTTTGAAGAAATTTTAGCTAGAAGCTTTCTTGGGAGTAGTCTTGCAGTTTCAAAGCAAGCTTAGGAATTCCTTTTTCACCTTTGTTTGCCATGGCAACAAACTATATGTGGTTTAAGGGAGACCATCCATCTTGTAGAATATTCTGGTTCTCCTGCCTTGTAGAGTTGCTTTCACTGTCTTTGTTTTTTGTTTCCTTGGCTCTAAAGAAGGTTACGTATTTATTGATTGCAGCTTACAAAATTTATATAAAATCTGTTGTAAATAGTAGGAGAAAAGTACTGCTGGCTAGGTGGGAACAGTAGTCTTTGATACTGGCTAATTTTGTTTGGTTGTGGGGTAGTTAGTTTTTTTTTTTATTTTAACTCTGTGTATATCCTACTAATGAGTGGAAACTTTCCTATCCCCCCTGCCACATGCATAGAATCTAACACCATATATTTCTGCAAGAAGTATGACGCAATAGGAGCAGATTTGTAGAGCATAACAGTTAGCGCTGAGGACCTGATAGCCACAGTACATGTATTTGGGGTTTTTCCTTTGGGCTAGCCATAATCTGGTCCCATGGACTAGATGGTGACTGCTGGTTTAAGTGCACTAGTTTCATGCCTGGAGCACACTTTGAAGGTTAGTTTCATCTGAAAGAACCAAGTTTGCTCACTGTACTATGCAGTGTGAGTTACAGAGGACTGTCAAGAAAAGCAGGCTCCTGATCCAAACTAAAACATTGACACAGACACACCCTGCATCTATTACAATTTAACCTATAAAGCCATGGATCTTTTGATGTAAATTGGAATTGCTCCTACTTTAAGTGCTGGAAGTCTGCAGTTTAAATGGCTGTGTCAGCCAAGATGATGACCACTACATACAAACAAGATCTTTAATATAAAATCCAAACTAATGATAGCTCATTAGTGGCTCTAGCTTAAAATGGCTCTACCTTAAAGGGACAAAATAAGACACTTCAATTGCTTGTTTGTAATAGTTAAGACTCTTTAGCCGCTAGCAATGTTTGACTAATTTCCTTAGGAGTGAAAGTTTTGAAATTATGATGGTTTTTGTTGGTTTAAAGAAAAGCTTTTTGGTCTAACATGTAAGCTGTGTACAATAAGGTGGCACTAAATTTCTTCATAGAACTCACTACGGAGTTGTCCCTAGCAACATAACATAATTAATTGCAGAATTATAAATTACTAGAGCTAAAAGAGTAAAGAACAAAACTATTATACTAAAAGTGTACTTGGATCTGGTTTTATGCTAACCTTTGAAAACCTTTTCTGATGGTTGCAGGTGGCACGTCGTATTTCATTATGGACCAGTTTGAAGACGTATCAGATGGTGAAGTGGATCATGCTTTCTTTGACAGTGATTTTGAGGAAGAGAAAAAGAAAGCTGAAGAAAATGGTGAATGTATAGAGAAAGGAAGTACAAAGGCGGCTCTTGCAGACCCTGATATGGTTTCTAATTCAAAGGATGCAAAGTGTTGTGAGGAGGAAAGTGAAGAAAAGCAGAAAGATTTGCAGAAGGCTCAGTCCCTAGAAAAAAACATAGATCATCTTGAAGATGCTTCATCTTTGTCACTTTCTCCAGTTGCGGAGAATGCAGGTACATCTGGAGCGACATCTGCAGCAAATAGGGGAACACAGGAGAATGTTCCTGCTGGAATCCCCAAAATAGTTAAAGAAGGTGAAGAAGATTATTATACAGATGAAGAAGATAGTAGTGATGATGGCAAAAAACAGAAGGTTAGACCAAAGTCAGCTAAGCAGTCAAACAACATAAAAAAGGCTAGCAAAAAATATACCAATATCAGCTCCTCCTCCTCTTCTTCTTCCTCCTCTTCCTCCTCGTCCTCATCCTCAAGCTCAGATACAGATTGTTCTGATACGGATTCCGATAGCTGTTTATCAGATTCATCTCATTCTTCCTCAAAGAAGAATGCTTGTAGGAATGCTCTTCTGTCTCCAAAACAAAAATTCAAGTCAGCAATGAAATTATCAGAAGGAAAACCAAAGCTTGGTGACTACTTGGAGGAGTCTGAAGATACAGTGACTGACGTAACACCTCTGTCAACTCCAGACATCAGTCCTATCCAGTCTTTTGAACTTGCAGCATCAAATGATAAGAAACTAAAAATAAAAAGACAGGAAAACGTGAACCAAGAATTATATGGTAATTTTGAAGAATTTAAGTACAACGCAAAATTTCTAAAACCTGTGGGGCTGGGAAATCCAATCTTATATCTGTATTTTTTTTATTAGATTCCGAGTTTGATCGCAGATATAGTCGAAAAGTCTTGCATGATGCCATGGACCTGAATCAGCTTTTGAAAGGTGACTTTTAATTTTTCTTTTTACAAAGTATGACATCTATATATTGTTGAGAACAACTGAACTCTAATAGAAGAGAATGAGGTTTTAATGTGCCACATGTATTTTTAAAACTGGTTTGTGATTAAGCATTGTTGATCTAATTCTTTGAATTCTTATGTCAGTAAATAGTACTGATTCTATAGTGGAAGGAAGAAGCACGTGTATGAGCATGTGTCGGTGTGCATATATCTAGAAGTAACATATACAAACAGGGTGAATCTCTAAATAGGTTTGATATATTAACAAATTGAATAATAAAACTGCACATGCATTTTGAGAAATCAAGGTTTATTGGACTATGCCACAATTTACTGTCAAAATTAAAACACCAACCTTTCTGATAAAATGCTGGGTTATCGACCTTCAGAATTGAAAGGCAGTCCAAAACTACATTGCATGATAAATAGTAGTTGTATATTTAAACTTCTGGTACCTTTTTGATAATGAAACAGAATTATTTGAAATTCTTTTTCTGAACTAAGTGTCTGCCTTCTAAAATACCATAAAGTTGAGTAAAGGTATTTTAAAGAGAAAAATAACAGATAATCTTTACTAACATTTGAGTGGTTGCTTTTTACCAACAGAGTTAATAAATCTTAATAATGAAGTCTGAGAGAGAGAACTTGGTATCTCTTTCACTGCATTCATGGCAAATCTTCATTGTATGGGGTGAGAATGCACTGGGTGATCTCATGTACATATTTTAAGGTCTACACAGTGCTTCAGCGCTTGTTTTCATGGCCCAGAGTTTTCAGTAGTAAAATCTCTAGAATAAAAGAGGCTTGGCTGAAGAAATCTGCTGATCTCAGGTGAGGAAAGCTTCTTATAGTCTACAGCAGTATTGCGGTAGGTCTGGCATGACTAAAACTGCGTGTTTCATCTTTCTTTACTTTGCACCTTGCCAGACTGAGCCTATAGTGAGTAAGGATTCAAAATATATTGTGTGCATCATTTAACTTTCCTATGAGTAGAAATGACGATTTTACTTGTATGGAAATTCTTCTAATGGTAAGAAAAGCAGAGCTAGCCGTTAAAAAAAAGTAGAGGTGAGTCTCATCTCTGACAGTCCTTGTGCTCCAGCAACTCTTCCAGACTAGAAAAGGCTCCAGCCACTTGTCAGAACATGATGTTAGAAGAGTTGTTGCTAAGCAGTTGAAATTACAATGTTCTATATCTTTATTTGTTCCCTGATAGCAAGAAGCTATTTCATAACTGGCGATTGTGGAAGCATTTGTCTCATCCCTCAAACAAATGGGTATTATAGCTCAGAATAAGTATTCTCAGAGATGAATCTCTGTTTGGAGGGGTGGGGAGAGTTTTTCTCCCAAAACTGAAAAACAATTCTAAATAACAATAATAAAGATTGAGTGATGAGAAGTAGAATTCATATAGTCTGGCAGCTAATGTTCCTGATTAACATCCATATTACTCCCAAGTGCCTCTCTGAATTGGCAAGCGCAGCGTAGCTTAATTACTCTGGGTATTTTGAAGTTTAAATGGGGCAGGATTATTAATGGTGGAAAGTAACTAGTCTGGGAAAATGGGAGCTAGTCTTATTCTGAGTTACTGTTTCCAGGTTTTTCCATACTCATTTTAAAAAAAAAAAGTGCAAATCATTCCCCTCTCCCCTGCCCAGTCTGCATGAAACGTTCATCAGAACTGCATAGGCATGAACATTGCTTCAAGTGAGAACAGTATAAGCCCAGGCTTGAGTGCATGAGAGAGTATTTAAATGATCATCAGGATGTCTAAGATTTGGTTTTAAAGTATATTATTCTTCCAGTAATCTATACTGATGAAGCATTTTGTTTAAATTTTTTGTCAAATATGCTTGTAATATAGCTCGGCCTAAGCATTTGCAGCAGTTATGTGAATTTAATTTCCCAAGGTCCCCAGAAACTTGTAGAATTTCAGTGGGATCTGTTACTGTGTTGTTTCGGGGGGGCGTGCAGTAATTAATTTTGTACAATTTTTCACATTGGTAATGTGAACATTTGGGAAGACTAGAATCTCTTGTATTAAAAAAGAATCACAAGAACAAAGAAAGGGAAGAAATCTGTTAAAAGTGCGTGGTGTTCAAAGAACAAGTTCGGGACTAGAGCAAGAGTCTGGTTATTAAGCAGCACGGTAATTTGTGTATCTTAAAATAGAATTCATTTGAAGCATTTAGAAAAAATGTTGCAGTTAAATTAAAAAGGAGCTGAAATAGTTTTTCCTCTATATTATATGACCTTGATACATCTTTGTGCTCATACTGCAAACTATTCAAAATGCTAAAACTGCATTTAAAAAAATCATATTTAGATAACTTTATCATGTCCTTCTCGCTTGTTCTTGATAGAAGCCAAATTTTAAGTTATGCTATTCTGAATAATTTAAAATCTCACAAATAACATAATTTTAGTTGGAAATTTTATAGTCTCCATCCTATATATTACGCTTTGAATGCTTTTTAGGTGGGTATTGCTATGCAGCTTTATCACTGATTTTAGAAATATTCTTTAGTGTCCAGAACTCTGGTTATAAAGGTATGTGATAACACTTGGTTACTACATCTGAAAGTTGTCTTTTTACGTATGCTGTTACTGAAGTGAGCATTGCCAAGTACTGCAACTTGCTATGCAGCCTCTGTTCACCCTATGGAAAATAAATGAACTAGTTTTATTCAAAATGGCAGAAATCTACCTGGTAACAGTAGCTGGGGGCAAAGTGAAGATTATGCTTGAAAACTGGAGAGAAGCAGGTTCTGCATGTGGCCAAAGACAAAGCATATGAATGTAGTCCTTATATTGGCATTTATTAGACAGGAGTCGAGCCCTGTTTCAAAGGGAAGGAAGAAGTTCAATAAAATGTGCAGTTTTCAGAACCTGCAGGTTGTATGACTGTATTGGCATGGCTTTGCATGCACGCTGATGAAGGAGGGGCATGTGAACAGTAGAGAACTCTTGAGAGCAGATGCAGCATGAAGGAAGACAAGCAAACATATGCAGTGAAGAAATTGTGGAACCCAGGTATCCGTAAGCTACCATGTTAAGGTATGGGGTGCACACTCGCACTGTTTCAGTTGTAAGGAGGCTGCAGTTTGCAGCGGGAACAGTATCACTAGAAACTGCAGGCCATAATGAAAGCTAAGGTAGTGCAGGGTGGAGGGATAAACTCAGAACTTTTTTTGATTGATCTCTGTTGTTTGTTTCTAAATCAGCCCCGTGGCAGTGTCTGATGCTCAGTTCAGAGTGGCTTGGAGCTCAGGTGGAGGGAGCACCTCTCTGCAGCACCCTCCTGAGGGGCAGAGCCTGCCCTGCTCGCTTGTACTGAAGCCCTGTGGCTGCAGAGCCTGGAGTACTAAAATCAGCTTGGGTCATGTTGTTCAAGTTACTGGTCTTAGTGATTACTTATTAATTATCTCTGCATTATGCATAAAAATTCTTGTGTTTATCTGTGATACTGTTTAATTGTTCTTGGTAGTGTTTTTTGCTTCTGTTCATGAAAATCACTTGCTGTTTGGGTGGTATACTTATTTAAAATGTACATAAATGCATTTTTACAGACACAGAAGTCAATGTTTAGGAGGCTTACATCATTTCATTACAATGCTAAGACTGATGTCATGTAGCTGATTGTTGTCATTATGGTGTATATCTATAAGAACTATTGTAGCACTGTGGAGTTAGACAGACACACTACTTAGGAATTCAAATATCTTATCAGTGTGGCCAAGAACATAGGTACTCACAATTTCAGTTATTCAAGGTTAGTAGGGTTTATATTTTACAGACCTCTCCTCACTCTTTACTTCTCTTTTTTCCGCCATCTGCATGGAAAAAAATATAGGTGTGATTGTGATTTTTCAGGTGGAAATACAGTTCTTCAGTTGTTTCACGATGTTACATAGATTTCTCTGTGTAATTCTTTTGTGAGTCTGTTTCCACTTAGCTATAAACCTTGAAGATCTTTTAGAAAATTAGAATAATAACTAACTCAGAGCAATATTCAAAACCCATAATAATAAAAAACAGAGTTATCTCCTCTTCAGTACTCTTGAGTAATCTGAACACAAAAAGAGAATTAAATACACCAATGCAAAGAAACAGGTTGCCAAAAATTGGTTTTGGAAGTGCTTTCATAAAGCTCCATCTTAGAAAGCTGGGAATAAAAAATTGGAAAATTTTCTGAGATTGTTTTGATTGATCATATGTCTTGATCCAATGTCCTATGTAATTTTAAGGAATTGAGGTTATGCAGATAAAGGTATGGGTTAAGCATACAAGTGTGAACTAAGTACTTATCCATTTCCATCCCATTATCATACAGACTTGCTCTCTGTCTTTAGACAAGTCTTTTGATTTCCGTAGTTCAGAATACAGAGTTGTATGCTAAAAATGCTGTGTATCTCTTTATCTGAATTTGTGTTGGGTGTCAATACAGTAGTAATGGGATTGCACAAGGTATGTAGAGTGCTAAGGAATTTAGCACTTTGTGTTTTCTTCTCTGGGGTTGGTACCTGCTTATTTTACAGACATGTCTGTGAGAATTAGTCTGTAAATCCGTGGTATTAGCTATTATTAACTTGAGGAGGTGGTGCGATGGGGTAAGTAGGACAATGGGCCACAGGCTGGAGACCTGAATTCTATCCTTGAAGCTCTCACTGACCTATATGCTCTCTGATAAATCTTTTTGCCTCTTCTATACCTTAGATTTTCTATTGTAAAATAGTCAGAGCTCACTTGGTGAAAAGCACTGTGATATAAATATCATTATTATGAAAGTAAAAGCTCTGTGTTTCTGAAGAAAAGCTATTGTAGAAAACTAAATAACAGCTTCAACTGAACATGTAGCGATTGCTTTAATTTTTTTTTTGCTATAATTTGTCACTCAGGAAATAGAACAAGTTTTTTATAACTGAAATTTTCTCTTCTTAGGGAAATGTTATCTGTGTACTCATTCATGCTGAACTAGTGTAT